TGGGCCTAGACCCTTCCTACTATCTTCAGGGGAAATCAATTTGTTTAAAGTGAACAAAGGCAGAAATTGCTGGAAAAATTCAGCAGGCCTGGCAATATCTGTGGTCAGAAATCGGAATTAACATTCCAGGTCCAGTGACCCTTTGATTCTGATTTCTTTTTCGAAGAAGGGTCTAGGCCCGAAACGTCAGCCTTCCTGCTCCTCTGATGCTGCTTGGCCTGCTGTGTTCATCCAGCTCTACACCTTGTTATCCTTAATTTCCCCTGAACATTGTTTTTCCCTTGTTATGATTTTAACAGTTAGTTTAAGCAAGGTCACAGAATTTGTAGCAATAGCCAAACTCCTAAAGAGGGAAAATTTGTAGAGGAATTGATGCAGGTGACATATTGTGTACAAGGAAATATTCTATGACCACCTGTGAACCACAAAAGCTAGGTACACCATAGGTTAATTAGACCAGCTGACTAGACATCTGCTTAGTCATGTCAAAAGTGTGGGTTCAATTCCCACTGAGGTTACTGTGGAGGTCCCCTCTTCTCACGTTTCCCATCACCTGATGGAAAGTAACTCTTAGGTTAAACCACCACTGGTCATCTCTCTCTAATGACAGGAGTCCTCTGGCACTACGACAACTTTACTTATTTTTACAGTAATATCCACAGCCCAATCAGTAACTTGTGGTTGTGTTCCACTCTTCAGGCTCCAAGAACAATTGGACATTTGGTGATATGTAACATCTGCCTCACTATAGAGAGCCAATGAACATAACCAATGACCTCTCTGAGGGTGTCCTGAAGTACATGATCCCTGAGAGGAAGCAAATCCCAAAACTGCTGGAACATCAATGGAAGGTGAAGAGAGAGGCCTGGGCACCAATGAAGCAGGATCAGTGAATCCCACAGGGGATCAAACAACTGGGACAGGATGTGGAAGCTGACCTGAAGAATGAACAGTGATGTCAGATGATTTGGGGCTGGAGTATTAACATTGATTTTCACTTTTGAATTGGAATTGCTTCCCAAGTACCGGTGGTGGTACAGTTGATAGTTTGGGTTAGACCTGTGAGTGATTGTGGAACTCCCTACTCGTGTGGGTTCCAGCAAGCAGTTGCAAGGGCAATATCTGAAGGGGAGCAGATAAATAGGCAGGGGTTGTCAGGGACATAATAATATTGCAAAGATAGGGGAAAAAAACTATTGGAACTATTGAATCAAACCTACTGATTGGCCACTAGAATACAGAGCAAGGCGTGAGAATTCCCAATGGTGTTGGTATGATCAAGGGCAAAACTGGGTTCTTGTAGTAGAAAGTATAGATATAAAAATTAATTGTCAAATAAATATGTGCTACATAGCTAAAGCCACAGACGAGGGATGGGAAAACTGGAAAGTGTATATCACAATTGATTCATTTAATATTGGAACCAGATTAGCTACAGTAAACACACACAAAAGATTGTCCTAATTGTAGTACCCACAATTTCTAGAAATCAATGTATTTTAGTGAAGAGCTATAGTGATGGACAGGTTGGGGAAAATATCTCTGCAACACCAAGGGAAGAGGGTCCCCATTGACATTGTAGAGCCAAAAGGATCATTTAACTTGGGGCTAAGATGATTGGCCTGGTTGGGATGGGCTGCTACCTAAAATATGAAAGATGCCACTGGTGTGGAATGTGTACTGACAAGGATTCCATTCACAAGATAAAGGGACCCAGTGCTGAGGCATGTACACTAGGTTAGGTGTGTTCAGCTTTATAATGCAGTAACCAGAAACTGGAAGTTATACAACCATAACCATTGCACATATTCTGTAACTTTATGATATTTAAGAAGCCTTCGTAACCAGTGATACTGTACAAGTTCTAAATATGTAATTCAAATTATGAATGGGAAAACAGTCTCTTCAAACCCTGTTTCCCCTGTAAACATTGGAGAATAAGAAAGCCTATTATCCTGTTTGAAACAGTAATTGCCACCGTTTGCAGTATCTTTTCAGAATACATCACTGGATTGTTTTAACACTTTTTACCAGATCACTCATTAATGCTTAAAAGATGAAATGTGCAATGGTGGAAAGTGAACAAAGAATGTGCCAACCTGGACAGCATTGAAAAGCTTTCCAAGAAGTCACTTGCTTTGTGATAGTCAACACAAAGGGGAGGCATTGGCCTGGCGGTATTATTGCTGGACTGTTAATCCAAAGACCCACATAATGTTCTGGGGCCATGTGTTCAAATCCTGTCATAGCAGATGGTGGAATTTGAATTCAATAATTATCTGGAATTAGGAATCTAATGATGACTATGAATCAATTGTCAGGGGGGAAAAACCCACCTGGTTCACTAAAGTCCTTGAGGGAAGGAAACTGCCATCCTTACCTGGTCTGGCCTACATTTGACTCCAGACCCACAGCAATGTGGATAAATCTTAACTGCCCTCTGGGCAGTTAGGGATAGGCAATAAATGCTGGCTAGCCAATTATGCCCTCATCTTGTGAATGAATAATAAAAAACATTACCTGCACGGTATGAGGCTAACGAGATCACCTCCAGAATCTTTAAGGTGTGGCTCAAGCAAGTGGACAAATTACATTAAACTGAGGAAAAAAAAAATTTTACTCTGACAACCCTGAAAAGCCCATTCACCTGTCTGTTTCAGTGGCTTGTTTTGAATTTATTCACAGGATGTGGGTGTCACTGGCAAGGCCAGTATTTTTGCCCATCCCTAATTGCTAGAGGGCAGTTAAAGTCAACTACATTGTTGTGGGTGACAATTACCATCCTTTAAAGAAATGGGTGAATCAGGTGGGTTTTTCTGACAATCAGCAAGGGTTTCATGTTCATCATTAGGCCCTTAATTGCAAATTTTTATTGAATTCAAATTCCATAATCAGCTGAAGCAGCAAAAGTTGTAGAGATGTTGTGGGATTTTGCAGTGGAGCATGAAAACATGGCATATATGTTTGGCAGCATTGATAACATTGCAGACCCGGCTGAAGACAGCACAATAAAAAGAAAAAGATTATTGCGTTTTCCTGGAGTTAGCTTCTCACTTCTGTCAATACCTTTTACTGAACAAGTTTAGGCTACTGGGGATCCCCGATTTACAAATGTCCAAATTATGAATGCTCATAATTATGAAAGTGATCCCATACAGAGGTATAACTTTAAATATCCCACACATGAACATTTCCAATACTTACAAATGGCTGCATTATATTGTCCTGCATCATGTTCTGACTTACATACAAATTGACTTGCGAACTCCCTCAGGAACAGGATGTGTTTGAAAACGGGGGACTGCTTGTAATGAGCAAATTTAAGAACAGCTACTTCAACCCTGAGAGACTGCCAAAGAAGCTCCTTTTGCATATAATAACCACCCTTTGTTAGGAAGTATAACATTGAGTAGTTCACCATTTTCTGCTCATACCAGATTTCCAGCATCTTTTGTATCTTTTTGCTTCCTCTTTTTTATACTACTGTTTTGTCTCCTGTGCATATCACATGACTAGTACTGTTCCTCATAATACTATTTACAGGTCATTTTATCTCTCCAGTCTTTGTATTTGTTTTGTTTTTTATGTTCCTGCCATAGAGTCATAGAGCACGGAAGCAGACTATTTAGTCCAACCAGTCTGCGCTGAACGTAACCCCAAACTAAACTAGTCCCATCTGCCTGCTCCTGGTCCATATCTTTCCAAACCTTTCCTATTCACGTACTTATCCAAATATCTTTTAAATGTTGCAATTGTACCCACATTCACCACTTCCTCAGGAACCACGCTCTGTGTAAAAAATTTGTCCCTCATGTCTTTTTTTTAAATTGTCTCCTCTCAACTTAAAAAAATGTGCCCCAATATTCTTGAATTCTCCATCCTAGGGAAAAGGCAACTACCATTAACTCTATCTATACCCCTCATTATTTTATAAACTTCTATAAGATTGCCTCTCAACCTCCTATGAGTATCTCCAAAGATTTCGGTGTAGGTCAAAGTTTTTTGTCCCAAGTTATAATTTGTTTTTTGTACTTCCATTGCGTCACTTTCACAATATTCAGGTAAACCTGGGATTTTGAAAGGTCTTGAGCATTAATCGGGGTTTTATTTTACAGTAAACAATTGCCTATCCTAACTCTTTAAACCATTTAATCTTTGCCATCATTTCAACAGCCTAATGTTAGTGCACACACTGCAAACTATTCAGTGATGCATATATTTACAATCTACTTGCATTCAACTCAGTCGTTTCAAAACCTAAACGCACTTTAATTATTTGAATTGAAGCTCATTTATTTGTTTAAAAACACACTTTTTAAGGCACCTCTAAAGGTAAAATAGAATTTCTATCAATTAAACGAAGTAGCAGTGAGCTTCACTTTTTCCTATCATAAATTTCACCCTTCACATCATCACCCATTCTTATTGTAACATAAAATTAATTTATGAATCTAACCTGTGAGTAATTTTTTTTTAAAAAAAAGCCGCTTCGTGATTTATTACTTCAGTCGTTCAGCAAATCTTGAGATTTGCAAGAAATATTTTGCGTGCATTTCGCCTGAAATGATTTATCCTGCCTCCGGGAGGTGCTGCATTGCCGGTGGTTTCTGTCTCCTCGTGTGCGCACTTCCTACTTCGTCAGAAGAAGCGACTGTTTACAGATTGGGAACCGGTAATGGAGTCAGATGGTAGCGATGAAATGCAATGGCAAACAGTCGAACAGAGAAAGTGGGGCGGGAATAACCTGTATTACAAAATGTACTGCGTTAAAATGGAGCAGTTTCCAGCAGACGTTCACAGGTTTTGTGATCCTGAGTTGCAACATGGGCGAAGAAGAGAGTTGGTTCATCTACTGAGGAATGTTGATGAATTGAGTTGCCAAAAACTGCAAATTTTATTTTCTTTTTCTATTCCAAATCTAGAAGCAATTAAGTTTATTGCAGATTTAAATCAGCCTGTAGTTTCAGCTGGTGCTGTAAGTACTGAAATTACAAAATGATTTGTTACTCGTGTTGGTAGACTGGTCTTTACTGCAGAGACTGACCTCGGTGTTGTACTCTCCCTCCCTGCCACTTTAGCTTATTTTCAACATCGTACTAGAAATAATTTTATTAATTGTGGGCAAGCTCGAGTTAGAACACGTGTTAAAGAAGGTGCACGCCTAGAAACAGTGCACTATAAGTGACTGACAAAAAATAGTTACGTTCTCACAATCCTAAACTTAGTCCTGACAAATTTTACAATCTATAGTCAATCAAACAGTTACTCGACTATCCTCTCTTGCTACAGCTAATGCCATGAAGCAATGATGTCTGTCTCAATCACTGCATAAGATAAATTCTTTAATGCTCTAACCATCTGTGTAAAGACATTTCATCTACCGCCCTCTCTGAGAAGTGACAATTTTGATCTGATTGTCACTGACTCTCCAGTTAGAAGAGACATTTTTCTCACATTCAGTACATCCAAGCCATTTAAAATTTTAAAAACCTGAAGTCCATCTCCTCTTCGTCTTTTCTCACCAATGTGATGGATAGTTTGAGAAGTTCATAAGAACTAGAAGCAGAAAAGGCAATTCAGCCCCTCAAGTCTGCTCTGTCATTTGATAAGATCATGGCTGATCTCATCTTCATCACAACTCCACTTTCCTGCCTGCTCCCCATTACCCATCAACTCGTTACTAATTAAAAATCTATGTGCTCCTTAAATTTACTCAGTGACCCGGCATCCCTCACAGTCTTGGGTTGTGAATTCCAGATTCATGACCATTTGAGAGAAGTGATTTCTTCCCATCTGTTTTCACTCTTCTCCTAAAATGTGACTTCTCATTCTAGATTTCCCTACATAAGGAATCATCCTTTCTACCTCTACATTGTCAATCCCCTTTAGCATCTTGTATACCTCAATTAGATCTCTCATTCTTCTAAACTCTGCAGAGTATAAGTTTGAACAGCTCAATCTCCGTTCATAAGACAAACCCCTCATCTCTGAAATCAATCTACTGAACTTCTCTGAACTCCAATACAACCTCTAATATTATGTAATATATCTAAGATTAGGAGAAAGTTATATAACAGAGTATCACAAAACTTGCAAATAATAACGTACCACATGAGAGACTCTTCAAATTCAAGATAGGTTATGAATTTGGATTGTACAGAACAGGTTTCCCCAAGGGCTGCTGTTTTAATCTTCATGTTTGTATAAATTATCTAAGTTGTGGGGAGCTAGATTTGTGGTTGGATAAGTGGTATGTACGACTTCAAGGAAGAAGTCAAAAATTTGCAAAGAACTCAATAGAGTTTACATGTAGAGTGGTAATTCCCAATGAAATGCAATATGGGCAAAAAGCTATTTTGTTTGGAATTAAAAATGCAGCCTAATACATCCTGTGTCGAATATAGCCTGTCAAGTGGTACCTAGGTAGTTGATTAAGATATCTGAAGAGTGTGAGGCAGAGCAATTTTATAAATAGGAAACTGGGTTATATTTTAAACGTCAGTTGGGTTCAGATCTCCAAAACTCACACAGAGGTTGTCCAGAACTCTAAGTACAAGTTGTATCTGAATTACTACATGTGCTTTTCATCACAGTGAGATTGGGACTCCATCCAGACCATAGGATAAGTGCTGAGCTGAGCAAAGAAGCACATTCATAATATTATGGAGGAGAGTATGGAGGACAACTTGATAACCTTGAGCTCTTCAGCCTTGAGAAGTGAAGTCCCATGGGAATTTTATATATGTATGGAATTGCAAAAATAAATCCAGATAGTACTATCAAGGCAGGGCACCAGATTAGGAGGATGCAGATTCAGATTTATAAAAGGCAAGTATAAGATAGATGTCAGGATACATTTCATGACAGAGGGTGGTTAACTGTTGAAACAAATTGCGAGGAATGATGGCTGCATTCAAGATACTGGAATAATTTTAAGAAAAAAAGAACATGCACTTTAAAGGTGACTGAAAAGATGAACATCAAATCATTGGAGAATTGATCACTTCTAACTTGCCATGTTTAATCTTGTTTTTTATATCTTAGGGAACCGGATACTGGGAGTATCTTCTTCAGAGCCAAGGAGTAGACCTGATATCATTTGATACAAATAATATTTATCCACCAGAAATGCGATATTCAGAGATTTTGGTATGTCCACTATTTTTTTTGCAGAGTGGCTAGAATTATGAGTGAGGTGGGAGGGGCTTTTATCTGTCACTTCATTTTCAAAACTACAAAATAACACGATCAGAGGTCACTTACTGACAACTTTGTTTTTTTCCTACATCGCATTATTTGCTTTAAATTTTCAAACTGATTTCAGAACAACCTTACCATTTGTTTGGCATTTAATTTAGTTCAAAAGGAAGAAGAAAGTTTGCAATAACTTTGCTTTGAAAAAAATAAATCTAAGCATTAAATAAACCTAGCTCAGCATAATTTGTAGATATTACTCCTGAACATAATAATGGCAATTTGCATTTTCATCTTGTCACAAGGTGCTTTTAAAGGCCAAGTAGTAGTAGAAGAGCTAGGAGAGGTGAACAAGGGATTGCCAAAGTTGCATATTTTAAGGTATCAATACAGAGGTTTTGTAAAAAGAGAATTCTGGAGTTGGGAGCTTAGGTGATTGGAGTTTGTGCAACTGAAAATGGAGCATGAGGGCAGGAAAAATGAAGGCCCCAGTGAAAAGAAGAGAGAGCATGTAATATTGGAAAGGGATAAGTCTGTAAAACTTAATGAATGAGTGAGGATTTGTATCCATTACATGGGACCGAAGCAATTAGAGACCGTGAAGGACAGTGATGATAAAGGAATGTAATATTATAAGGGACAAAATGTAAATATCAAATTGCAGTGGATAAATCTAATAGAACTAGCTTTCCTTACATTTGATCTTTTTGCTTTCTATATTCTGTATAGTCAAATCTTTATGTTTTCCTTCTAATTTCCTAATCTGTATCTGTTAATGAATGGAAGAGAAACTGGGTGCTACAATTGCCTCTAGAACTCCAAGACAGCATCTGTGGTGTCCCCAAAAGCATGAGGTGAATTGCACCAGTTGCCATATTCGTGCAGGAATGTCTGCTGTAAATGTGGGAAACAGCTAGACCATGTGGTCGATTAGCATGTAATGCAGTACCAAATGTTTTAAAGCTCATTATAAAGGTCCAGTGCCTCTGCTCCCCTTCAGTCAGATGGTGGTGAGTCTTTGGAATTCTCTGCCCCGAAAGGCTGTAAAGGCTCAGTAACTGAATTTGTTCAACACTGGAATCAGTAGATTTCTGTGCATTAATTGCGTTAAAGGACAGTGTAGCAAAATAATGTTAAAGTTGATTAGCCATAATCTCATTTAATGGCAGAGCAGACTCGAGGGATGGAATGGCCTACAGTTGCTCCCAGTTCTTTTATTCTTGTGTTCCAAAAAACAAATCCACTTGTAAGTATGATTTGTTGCTTTGAGATATCCTATACCTAAAAGGTGATATATAAATGCAGCCTTTCTTTGTGAAATTACAGATTTTAAGGGTTAAATTCAATTAAATAGGCAACTTACAATATCAATTATGAAAGTCTGGGTAAGACAATAAGTTATATACAGTAACTTCAAATAAATTTGTTTGCTGAACATATTAAGTGAAGTTACATTGTACAAATAGTAGATTGTATCACTGAGAGTAGTTTGATTCATTTTTTTTTCACAGTCATAGATATTTAAAATTGCAAATAATCAACTGAACAATGAGCTGGGGAAGAAAGCATTTACTGCCACATTTTCTTTATGTAACTTTAGACCAGCGGCCCTGAAATCCTTGAGCAGTTTCCTGACAGAGTGCTTTTTCTGGCCTGGCCAGACATAGACGGTAAGAAAGGAAGGGCTTTACACTCCTACACTAGGGGGAGTTTTCTTTGGCTCAAACAAATTATCATTCCTTACCAATGGTGTGCTGAGAAAAATGACATTATCTTCTGTACTATGTTCAAAAACTTTCAAGTGAAATTTAGCTGGTACATTCCTAGAATTCATAACAATTAACTGATGAAAGCTTGATTGAAGCTCAAAGATTACAAAGTAGCAAGATGAAAATTCTCTGCTCTAACACATTCATGTACTAATCACGTTTAGCAGAGATTCTATATTTTGTTGAACAATTTCTTCTTTCGTTTTCACTACACACTTATCTGAAAGGAAGAGTTGTGATATATTTAATACATTCAATTGCATTGCTGTTACCGGTTCATACTTTATCAGTGTATTAAAGAAACAATGCAATTGCCTGTAATTTGTGTAAAAAATAACATTAATGGTAGTAAATAACTGCAGTGGTTAAAGGTCATGATCTCATTCGTAAACACAGGAAATTGTTCTGCATTTTTAACGATCATCCGATAATGTTGTTTATGTTTACAGAGTCTTCAACGTTTTCTCTTGATTGCTTGAGCTATTTCAGAGGGGATATCATCCTTCATGTTGGGGAGTTACTGGGTGAAACACTGTCAGCCAATTACTGGGGACAGTCAACATCTCGCAATTTCCAGCTGGCACTTGCAGAAGATTTCTGCTGCCTGAGCAGAATTAAACTCCCAAACTGGCCGGGCCACTTAGACTCCTTAACCATGTGGAAAAGAAAGAACCCTCAATCAGTTGTGTGTGATGGAGCAAATTTTCATTATGTCAATCCTGAGGACAGAATGTATTTATAATGATTAATTCAGATAATTTTGACCATAAATCAGTCTCCCTCAGGGGAAGGGTGTATTTCATTTAAATGTTGTCAGTGTACATTGAAGCAGCTGGTTATAAAGTTTTTTTTGAACTCTAGCTGAAAAGCAAAATGTAAATCGCAGTCGGAGAACTAAGATCCTTGTGATACTGAGAACATAATTACTTGTGGTTGATGTGCTTTAAGCCTCATGACCAATTGCTCTTCGCTGGTTCATTTCAACAGAGTTCACCAAAATATTCTGGCTGTCTATTATATTTCATAACTTAAAAGACTGATGAGTCTCTCCCATTGACCAGATGTCAAATTTTAAAACAAGTGATTCCACAGGGGTAACTTGAGCCAAAGAGAGGGAAACATTTTTATGACTTTTATTTGAATATTTCAACAGCCCAACTTATTGTAATGAGATGTTAAACCGATTACAGTACACAGATCATTGTTCTACTACAGAATGTAGTACAAGTATACCCATAGATTTCCTTTGCAGGCCCTCCCACTGTGCTGTGTTGATTTGTTGCTTTACTCCTGAATGCGGCGGAGTGACTGGATCTGGAAAGTTTGAGCATGGGATCCCCACTCTCTCCAATGCTTGTACTCTCCAGCATGGCGATCACATTCCATAATATACTGGAAGCCACGATATCCTGGGTACTGGTAGCACACCCATCTGAGGCAGAAAAACAGCATTCTTTACTTAAATGAACTTCAAATTTATGTTAAGTTGCATAAACATGAACCAGGGCATATAGCTGCAGATGCAATTATGTGTCAGAGCATCTAAGACTGGATTACGAGTGTTCAGCGACTACAGGAGCAACAGCTCGAGCAACTCTCTTTGGTTATTTTTGAACTAGTTAGAATTGATTAACCAAGGTATTCTCTTCCCCTAAGATAAAATGCTATTTTAGAAATAGCAAACCTGACAAGATCATCAAGCTGCTAGATGTACAAGATTCTACTGAATCCAGTGAAGTATTCCTCCTTAAGTTCCAATAAACTATCTTTACTGAAAACACTGAACATGAAAAGGAAGGGTTCAGAGGGGTACGGGCCAAATGCACGCAAATGGGATTAGATTAATTTAAGATACCTGATTGGCTTGGACGAGTTGGACCGAAGGGTCTGTTTCTGTATTGTACATCTCTAAGATTCTATGACACTACTTACGCGCCAGCTTGAACCTTCATGGATCCGACTTCATTGTTACACCACCCCATGGCTTGCAAAGAGGGGTAGTCATCACACATCTCCCAGTGTCTTCCAATGAAGTTTTCCTTCTCAAAAATGACAATTTTGGACTCTTTATGATGCTAAAGGAAAATGGTATATATACATTCTGAGTGCATTTGAATACGCTGAGTTACATTTATGGGTGAAGAGTTAAGAAGTACTTGGTATACATCTCTGTAATTCAATATTTTGTATTTGATACTAAAATCTAAGTTTCTATAACCTTTCCTTGCAGCATCTCACTTTACTCCTGAGAATAAAATTGCTATTCCTGTGCCCTTTTACGTTCAGTTATATTTTCTGGAGCATGCTGACTGCATCCAAATACAACCTTGTTGTTAGGGCCAGACGGATGCATTCGTAAAAATTTAACATGATTACCAAGGACTCTGTTCTAAATGTATGTTTCAGTACAGTTCATTTTTTAAATTGAGTTTTAATTGAGGTATTGATTTAATGACATGATTCTACCAATATTCTCAAATTAATTTCCACATCTCTGTTTTTTTGATTATAAAGGCATCCAGGGGCTTGGACTTTATGAATAGAGGCACAGCTTATAAAAGCGATGAAGTTATGATGAACCTTTATAAAAACAGTAGTTTGTACTCAACTGACCACAGTGATAGATTGGAGAAGACAAGGTTGTGAGGAGATTTGATAGAAGCGTTCAAAATCTAGACAGAGTTGATAGAAAGAAACTTTCCATCTGCGGGGTGGATTGCTCAGTGACCTGAGATAGCAAGAACACATACCACCCCACCAACCTCCACATCCAGTGCATCATCTTCCGCCATCTACAATCCAACCCCACCACCGAAGAGATATTTCCCTCCCCATCCCTATCTGCTTTACACAGGGACCGCTCACTCTGTGACTCCCTCATCCGCTCCCCGCTCCACACTCCCCACTAACCTCACCACCCCTGGCACCTTTCCCTGCAACTGCAGGAGGTGCTGCATCTGCCCCCTACACCTCCTCTCTCACCTCCAGCCAAGGCTCAAGACAAATTTTTCATGTCCAACAGGGATTCACCTGTACATCCTCCAACCTGGTCTACTGCATCTGTTGCTCCCGATGTGGCCTCTACAATGGTAAGACTAAGTGTAGACGTGGTGACCAATTCGCAAAACATCTGCGCTTTGTACACTTTAATCGACAACACCTTCCGATTGCCAACCATTTTAACTCCCCGACCCACTCCCCCCGGTGACACATCCATCCTGGACTACCTCCAGTGTCACAATGATGCCACATGCAAACTGGAGGAACAATGCCTCGTTTTGATCTCGGGAGCCTACAGCTGATGGCCTGAACATAGAATTCACCAGTTTCAGAATCTCCCCACGCTCCGGCCTCATCCCTGCCTCCTTGACCTGACACAACCTGTCCATCATCTTTCCCACTGACCAATCCCCACTACCCCTACCAGCATCCACCTATCACCATCCCACCTACCTTCCCCCAGCTCCACCCCTCCTCCCTCTATTTATTCCCCAGCTCCCAACCCCCTCCCCAGTCCTGATGAACATTCCAGATCTTAAACGTTGACTCTCCTTCTCTGTTGCTGCCTGACCTGCTGTGTTCCTCCAGCTCCACAGTATTGACTCAGTAACATGAGGACAGTCAAGATGTGAGGGAAAAAAGGCAACAGGAACATGAGAAAGAATGATTTTCATGCACCGTGTGGTTAGGATGTTAAACACACTGCATGAGAGTATGGTGGTGGCTGATACAATTATGGCCTTGAAAAGGAAATTGGATAAACACTAATTTGAGGAGAGAAAAATAAATTGCTGAGCCAGAGGGAATCTTGGGGGAGTGAGTCTAGCAGAGATGCTGTTGCAGAGAAGCATCTACCCATGATGGGCTGAATGGCCTATTTCTGTTATCATTGTATTATTCCATGATAACGCAATTTCAAAAAGCCAGCGTAGTGATGAGGTCCAAAAAAATTAACAATGGGATGTTATATTTAATGAGTAACATTACCTTATTTGGTGCTAAATGTTACACTGTCAGTTATGACGAGTACATGCTACGCTATCATCAAGTCCTACAGATACTGAACAATGAACTGACTTACAGCAGAGCAAATAGGGCGGAAGGACATGAGTCTTTCAGTGTGGTAAGCATTGCTGCCACTCCAGGCATCCCAGCGAGGATATTCTCCTTTCTCCAAGATAAATTGTTGTCCAGAAAAGCTGGAATGTTCATAGCCAGCCCAGCTACAAGAAAAAAAATATTGCTTTCATGTCAGGTTTTCAAAAATAGGCACATTAATGCTTTCACCCTATCTTAAAATTGAGATGGGCCGAATTCCATGGATTCTAGTAAAAAACACATACCTTCTATTCTTATTATCTCTTAGCAATAATTTGCTGCTTTAGTAGTGCACCGATACAATGATGCAGTAAATATAAGCAGTTGCCTGAATTGTTTCTCAATCTTTAGTGTGAAATATGACTTTTATTGCATTAATCTCTGCAATTATAGTTAAAAGGAAGATCTTTAAACTGCCTGAAACTGATAGGAGTCTCCTTGAAGAGCAGAATAATTCTTTCTCAGAATAATGAGTTAAAAAGAATTGAATATACACCTGAGAGTGTTTGAATCTTCTAGTGTTTTCTGCCATGCAACGTTAGAGTCATACTAGCTCAGTATGAAAACGTTACCCAACTGAGCCCTGCAGCAGTATAGCTGAGACAGGCCCACTGATGTGGCAGTAATTATATCAATTATAAATACAATACGCCTCAGTTTTCTTGATCGTTTACTTCCGTCCACCACATTGTGCATTTCAACAGGTATCCACCCATCAAACTGGCTGCATGCCTGATTCTCAAATGCAAGTATCCTCTGGTTGCACCTATTCGAAAATGGGAGGAAATCTCAACATTGTTTCT